CTCAGTACTGTAATCTCTGGCTCTCTCGTAGGCCTGGTAGGCTACTCTCTCCTCGATGCTTGCCAGCTCCTGTTTCAGGTCGGCTGTTTCCGCCTGGTGGAGCTCTGTCAGGTCATTCAGCTGGTCCTCCAACCGCTCATACCTACAAGGAAATAGAAGAAGAATTGGTAATTCACTCATACCTACCTGGAAATAGGAATGTATATACAATGGTGATTGGTCATTCACTCATACCTACCAGGATATACAAATGTATACACAATGGTGATTGGTCATTCACTGGCAATTTAGGTACATAGAGCCACTGAAGACAAGCAAAACAAAACAGCCAAATAAACAGCTTGGCAGATAGAGGCCTAACACCATCTGAAGGTGCTCAGCATGCCAGCCATGTTGTTCCTTTAATGGAGGTTCACAATGCTGTGTGTTCTGACCTGTAGCTCACCTCCTGTAACATTCCTATAACATTCCTACAACATTCCTATAACACTCTGTAATGTGATCCAATTGCTGCCATGTAAACATACCTGTATCTCTCCTCCTGTAACGTTTGGGTGATGAAGCCGTAGTCTTTCTTGAACTGGGTCCTTAGTGCCTCCATGTCCTCCTCCAGCTGCCCCTGGGCCTCCCTGATCTCCCTCGCCTCCTCCATGGTCAGGCCAAGCCTCCCCTGGCCGTCCCCAGCCTCCAGGCTCTGTCCAGGGGTCACTGCAGCCCCCAAACCCCCTTCTACGCCCAGGCCAACCCCAAGAGCCACGGTGTTCCCGTTGCTGTCCGCAGACAGGGATGTGCCAGAGGAACACTCGTCGTCGCTGGTGTACTTGGGGGTCGTTGTGGCTGCGGGGGTCACGGTCTTCCCATCCACTATGGTGGCACTGCCGCTCAGGCCCCGCCCAGCGCCTTCAGAGTGGAAGGAAGAGGGCGTATCCAGGGAGGTCTTGAGGTGGGCGATGTTGTCGGCACTGCCAAACTTGTTCCTGAAGAAGAAAATGAACTTTTATTATCTATCGTCAATGTATGGTGACATGATGAATCCATATCCACTAAGGCCACTGAGGGCTTGGTAAGACGGTAAGACAAGCTGTCTCTTCTGTCTGAGACCCAGAATCAATCCCAGGGGGTTATCACTTTGTTAGCTCTCACACACACGCACACACAGATGTCAATGTATGGTGGCCTGATAAATCTGTATCCCCACACACCACACACACACACACACACACACACACACACACACACACACACACACACACACACACACACACACACACACACGGTTGGGGCACATTGAAAGCATGCGGCAGCCCTGCATCAGTACCTAAGGAGGTTGGCAAAGTCCCGGGGCTTGCTGAAGAAGAACGGAGGTGAGAGTGAGACGCCGGGCCCCACAGTCTTGATCTTGTCCGTGGGATGTCGTCCACTACCACTGCTCACGTTGCTCATAGTGAGGCTCAGCCTGTCCTTGGAGGTGTCCTTGGGGCTGCTGTGGTGTTTGGAGCTGGCATCCTTCTCACTGCTGTCCTTCATCTTCTTATGATACTGCTCCAACTTCTTTTGCATGTTGGCAATGCTGTGGGTGAGGTCTTCACGTTTATTTGCATTTTAAAGTGCATTTTACACAGTGTCACAACACAATCCACAAAAAAAAGGGTATAAAATGCATGGTCGGGTATGGTTAAAAAAGAGGTATCGAGAAGCTGGGAATGTTTTCAAGTGTATTGGTGTGATTGCTTCTGCAAGACCACTGTAAGTATTCAACATACTTCTGACATATAGTTATTTAAGCAATAAGGCCTGAGGGGGTGTGATATATTGCACAACGCAACGCGGAGTGCCTGGATACAGCCCTTAGCCGTGGTATATTGGCCATATACCACAAACCCCAGAGGTGCCTTATTGCTATTATAAACTGGTTACCAACGTAATTAGAACAGTAAAAACACATGTTTTGTTGTAAGGTTCTGTATTTATTTTCTTAGTTCACCTTGTGTTCTTGAACGTAGCCCTGTTTCTTTGTGTTCTTGAACGTAGCCCTGTTTCTTTGTGTTCTTGAACGTAGTCCTGTTTCTTTGTGTTCTTGAACGTAGTCCTGTTTCTTTGTGTTCTTGAACGTAGCCCTGTTTCTTTGTGTTCTTGAACGTAGCCCTGTTTCTTTGTGTTCTTGAACGTAGCCCTGTCTTTCATTTTTGTTCATTGATTTCACCTGTGTTAGTTACTCACCTGGTCTCATCAGCTCCTTATTTAGTTCAGTTCTTTCTGTTTGTGCCTTGTGAGGTATTGTTCGTTTTGACTCCACTAAGCCTTTTCCTAGCTCGTTTGTGAGCACCAGTTTCAGCCTTCAGTCCTAGTTTTGTTTCACCTGCCTGTTTGCCTGCCTGTGTATGACCATTGCCTGCCTGTGACCACGATTCCTGTCTTCTGCGAAGGTGAAATAAACACCTGCCGCGCTCTGCGCGTGAATCTACAACTTTTTCTTCCTGAGTATTCAGTACATTTGTCATACCCGTGGTATACGGTCTGATATACCACAGTTGTCAGCCAATCAGCATTCAAGGCTCGAACCACCCAGTTTATAATTGGATTTAAAGTGCATTTTACCCAAAGTCACAACAGCACTTCACAAAAAAACAAGGTTACAAAGAGGTATTATAAACTGCGTGGTTCGATCCCTGAATGCTGATTGGCTGAAATGATAAAACATCTATTTTTACGGTTCTAATTACATTGGTAACCAGTTTATAATAGCAAATCAAATCAAGTTTTATTGGTCACATACACGTGTTTAGCAGATGTTATTGCGGTTGTAGCGAAATGCTTGTGCTTCTAGTTTCGACAGTGCAGTAATATCTAACAAGTAATATCCAACAATTTCACAACACATACCCAATACACCCAAATCTAAGTAAGGAATTAATTAAGAATACATATATACATATATGGACGAGTGATGTCAGAGCGGCATGGACTAAGATGCAGTAGAATAGCATAGAATACAGTATATACATATGAGATGATTAATGCAAGATATGTCAACATTATTAAAGTGACTAAGATACCGTAGAATAGTATAGAATACAGTATATACATATGAGATGAGTAATGCAAGATATGTCAACATTATTAAAGTGGCTAGTGTTCCATTTCTTAAAGTGGCCAGTGATTTCTAGTCTATGTCTATAGGCAGCAGTCTCTAATGTGGTATATTGCCAATATACCATGGCTAAAGGCTGTATCCATAAGAACAGCCCTTAGCCGTGGTATATTGGCCATATCTCACACCCTTTCGGGCCTTACTGCTTAAATATAAAACAGTACCTGTGGGCTGACTTCTGGTTCTTCTTCTCAAACACCTGCTTGATGCGCCCCACCTGCATTTGTTTTACATTTACATAATTAGACATTTAGCAATCAGACGCTCTTATCCAGAGTGACTTGCGATCATCATAGGTAGGTTTAACATACACTTATTGCAATCATCGCAAGTGAAACTTTCTTCAGTATAGCCACCATATGCAGCAAAATCAGTGCTAGCAAGAAATGAAAAGTGTTAAGTCAGGGTAAGAAAAAGTTTAGTTATACACCTGCTGCTTGTCGGCACTGTTCACCAATTTCAGGTATTCAGCCACATTGTCGTCACGCGCCTCCTGCTCAATCTTCAACTCCTCAGTCACCTAAAATAAGATCATGGCTTTATTATCCCCAAAAGGACATTTTGTTATACATTAAGACATATCATGATAATCATATCAATACCAACAAGACAGTCAATGAAAAAATAAAATAAAGTCCATATGTGATTCATTGAGGACTTCCTAATTTACCCGGAGGATCTTCTGCTGCAGGCTGTTGAGTCCGGGGGGCAGGGAGCGGTAGGAGGAGTCTAAGCTGCGGTGGGAGGAGTCTAGGTAGCGTTGGGAATCTGGGATGCCGCTCAGATCCAGATCTAGGTTGTTCTCTGAGCTGCCTCGACGCATCGACTCCGGAATGTTCAGGCTGTTCCCATCACCACTGCTCCGTTCCGCCTGGAGGGAACACGACCACAGAACCATCAGGCAGACAATCAATCAATCAATCCCTTTATAGTCACAAACTCCGCCAGACAGAGAAATGGATTTGGTAACACTTTACATAAAGTGGAGGACATTTGCCATAGAACCTTCAGTCAGACAGACAATCGAAGGAATACAATGTTACACAAAACAACACATCTTTATTGACCCATTATACAGTGACAATGGAAGATGTTCTTCTTGCTGTCACAGTACCCAGCCCCACCACACAGTGAATTTAGTAACACTTTACATAAGGTATACTTAATAAAGGATTCATAAAGGGTTTGTAAGTAGTTTATAAACTGGTAATTATGAGTTTATAAATCGTTTATGAATCTGCTTAAACCTGCCTGAACTACAGAACTGCAAGGCAATCAGACACTTCAGAACCAAAAGGATGTTTACTGGGAATGAGGAACTGTCTCACTCATGATACCAAACACAAAGGCTATTCCAAATATGTGTTCCAAATACCTATTTTCTGCGGGTGCGCTCTCTTATTGTGTGAGTGTGTGTGTGTGAGTGTGTGTGTGTGTGTGTAAAGCCCTTATTTGGCACCTCTGTTATATTTTGGGACCCAGCTCCTAATTTGTTTACGCTGTAGCGTCCAGATGACAGGATGATGGCCATGTGTTATGATGATGAGAAATGGAGCCTGTACATCTAGGTCAAAGATAACGACCGAGTAAGAAACACATACACCCAGCAACACACTCAGAAAGTCCCCCCTACTGTACTAGACAGTAACCCATGCGTTTTCCTGTGCTGATACACCACTCACCTATGGCACCAACATGTTTCTCATGACCGCACCACACCACAGAAAACCTCTACTAGAAAGTAGCTAGTCATTGGTTTTACTGTAATGTACCATTTTCCTAAGGCATCAACACAATGTAATTATTTTCCTATGACATCAACACAATGTACTTATTTTCCTATGACATCAACTCATTGTTATTATTTGTCGATGTCATCAACACAATGTACATATTTTCCTATGACAACACAATGTACATCTTTTCCTATGACAACACAATGTACATATTTTCCTATGACAACACAATGTACATATTTTCCTATGACAATATTGTATCCCCCATACAAATAACATTCTATTGGTAGCAAGAATTTTATATAATAATTTAAATTGAAAAATTCTAAGTTTTGAATCCGGCGTCGTTTTGTGTATCAGTTCATAAACACTATGCCGTGGAATCGGTGCGTCAAAAATCTCTTCCCAACTATTTTGCAATCTATATGGGACGGCTGTCAATCTTTTGGTCCTTAAATGAAACTGGTAAAACATTTTATTTATCACAATTTTCTTTAACCAATTATGTTCTTTAATGCAAGGCCTACAGACACGTTCCTTACTTTTTCCTCCTTCCACTTTCCTCTTCCATTTTTGCAGTAATGCTGCAATTATTTGGTTGTAAAACTCATTGTTATTATTTGTCTATGTCATCAAGTCAACTCATCCTTTTCAAGTTCCTGTGGCATCAAGTCAACTAATTCTTTTCAAATTCATATGGCATCAAAGTCAACTCATCCTTTTCAAGTTCCTGTGGCATCAAGTCAACTAATTCTTTTCAAATTCATATGGCATCAAGTCAACTCATCCTTTTCAAGTTCCTATGGCATCAAGTTAACTCATCCTTTTCAAGTTCCTATGACATGAACACATGCAATTCCCCTCACTGCTAGTAAGTGTTTTTTTTTGTTTTACTGTAATGCACTATTTTCCTATGGTGTCAGCACACACTTATCAGGCTGATCTAGTTGGAGTCTAAGTATTTTAGGGAAGTGAAACAGTGGTACTAATCAGATATTTACATACGATGCTGGCACTGGAAACTAAGAGCTAGAATCTACACCACAACTGACTAGAAACAAACATAGGCCTACATTTAAGAAATCGCTAAATCGCTCAATTAATATTGGTTGGGATTAGGGTTTTTGTTGCCAGCTTGTTGCCAGATTTGCAGTGTGCTGTTCACATGACCTTCACTAAAGTACAGCCTGTTACAGAGCTAACAAAGTTGAAGTGGACCATCTTTGCAAAACCTTGTGTGAGAATATTACATGATGTGTAAATATTAAACTTCATAATAAAAAATAAAAAATAAGCTTTAACACTTCTGTAAGTGTTAACTATTTTTAACGAAGGCCATGTGAGGTGAAATGGCGGAAACCATAGAATGATCCAGTTACAAGGAAAGTCAAACCTAACAGCAATCTGCTAATCCTTGATCAATGCGGGTTCACAACAGCACATACTCTTAGACTGACCTTTTGCAACACTGATTATGAAGGTGAACCCAGACATCATAGAACATATGACTGTAGGAGAGTGTTGTAACTTAACTAACCCTTGGTCAATGTACTTTAAATACAGCTTGTGTCCCAAATTACACCCTATGCCCTTTATAGTGCACTACTTTCACCAGGACCCACAAGAAGTAGAGCACTATAAAGGAAATATGATGCCATTTGGAACGACACGATGTGAGGTAAGGACAGATAGAACAACAACACAGACTTTTCCTTCATCAGTGAACTGCAACACAGTTGGCTGGTTCTCAGACCAGCAGGCAGGCTAACAATCACTAAACACGTGGTTTTGGGTGTGTGGTGGTGACCCAACCAGACTAACCAGTCTTTCAATCTTACATAACATTTCAACGCAAGGTTACGTATTGCATGATAAAGTTACATGGCAGCTACCCGCCTGCCTCATGACCGTCTGTCAGGTGAAACATTGAGAAGGTACGGGTTAGAGACAAGGCTACGTGTTTTACATTTTAGTCATTTAGCAGACGCTCTTATCCAGAGCGACGTACAGTTAGTGAGCGCATACATTTTTCATGGCAGCTACCCGCCTGCCTCATGACCGTCTGTCAGGTGAAACATTGAAAAGGTACGGGTTAGAGAAACAGGCTGGTTAAGTTGTTTTGACATACACACACACACACAAACAAAAAGACACACACACACACACACACACACACACACACACACACACACACAACCACACACACATTCAGATAGACACATTCAGCTCAATGCTTCCTCTTTTCATTCCTGTCACTGTCAGTACACGTATTTTGGTATTTTGTATCAAGCTCTTGGTAGCCTATATTTAGTAACACCAGATTGCTCAACCTCTGAACTTTGTGTTCATACAACATTTATAGTGCCACACAAGGGTTAGATGTGTTTTACAAGGCCACAACAAAAGCATACTAATACAAAAATTACTCCAGTCATCATTCACCAATCAGTTACTATTGGGCAAAACACAACCCAAAACACAACCCAAAACACAACCCAAACCAACTGCAAAAGCATCCAACGAGTTTGTAGAGTCACAAGCTTGACGTAGTCATTGCGTGCAAGAAATATGAGAAAAGATACTCAACCTTTGACTACTTTGATACACAATTTGTCCAAATACTTATGACTTCTTCACATGGGGGGACTAGATACACTATATATAGAAAAGTATGTGGACACCCCTTCAAAGGGTGGATTCAGCTATTTCAGCCACACCCGTTGCTGACAGGTGTATAAAATCGAGCCCACAGCCGTGCAATCGCCAAAGACAAACATTGGCAGTAGAATGACCTTACTGAAGAGCTCAGTGACATTCAACGTGGCACCGTCATAGGATGCCACCTTTCCACCAACAAGTCAGTTCGTCAGATTTCTTCCCTTCTAGAGCTGCCCTGGTCAACTGTAAGTGCTGTTATTGTGAAGTGGAAACGTCTGTGAGCAACAACGGCTCATCCGCAAAAGTGGTAGGCCACACAAGCTCACAGAACGGGACCGCCGAGTGCTGAAACACGTAGCGTGTAAAAATCGTCTGTCCTCGGTTGCAACACACTACTGAGTTCCAAACTGCCTCTGGAAGCAACGTCAGCACAAGAACTGTTCGTCGAGAGCTTCATGAAATGTTTTTCCAAGGCCGAGCAGCCGCACCCAAGCCTAAGATCACCAGGCGCAATGCCAAGTGTCAGCTGGAGTGGTATAAAGCTCGCCGCCATTGGACTCTGGAGCAGTGGAAATGCATTCTCTGGAGTAATGAATCTCGTTTTTACCATCTGGAAGTCCGACGGATGAATCTGGGTTTGGCAGATGCCAGGAGAACGCTACCTGCCCCAATGCATAGTGCCAACTCTAAAGGTTGGTGGAGGAGCAATAATGGTCTGGGGCTGTTTTTCATCGTTCGGGCTAGGCCCCTTAGCTCTAGTGAAGGAAAATCTTACAGCATACAATGAAATTCTAGACAATTCTGTGCTTACAACTTTGTGGCAACAGTTTGGGGAAGGCCATTTCCTGTTTCAGCATGACAATGCCCCCGTGCACAAAGCGAGGTCCATACAGAAATGGTTTGTCGAGATCGGTGTGGAAGAACTTGACTGGCCTGCACAGAGCCCTGATCTCAACCCCATCGAACACCTTTGGGATGAATTGGAATGCCGACTGCGAGCCAGGCCTAATTGCCCAACATCAGTGCCCGACCTCACTAATGCTCTTGCGGCTGAATGGAAGCAAGTCCACGCAGCAATGTTCCAACATCTACAGTGAGGGAAAAAAGTATTTGATCCCCTGCTGATTTTGTACGTTTGCCCACTGACAAAGACATGATCAGTCTATAATTTTAATGGTAGGTTTATTTGAACAGTGAGAGACAGAATAACATTTAAAAAATCCAGAAAAACGCATGTCAAAAATGTTATAAAATGATTTGCATTTTAATGAGGGAAATAAGTATTTGACCTCTCTGCAAAACATTACTTAGTATTTGGTGGCAAAACCCTTGTGGGCAATCACAGAGGTCAGACGTTTCTTGTAGTTGGCCACCAGGTTTGCACACATCTCAGGAGGGATTTTGTCCCACTCCTCTTTGCAGATCTTCTCCAAGTCATTAAGGTTTCGAGGCTGACGTTTGGCAACTCGAACCTTCAGCTCCCTCCACAGATTTTCTATGGGATTAAGGTCTGGAGACTGGCTAGGCCACTCCAGGACCTTAATGTGCTTCTTCTTGATCCACTCCTTTGTTGCCTTGGCCGTGTGTTTTGGGTCATTGTCATGCTGGAATACCCATCCACGACCCATTTTCAATGCCCTGGCTGAGGGAAGGAGGTTCTCACCCAAGATTTGACGGTACATGGCCCCGTCCATCGTCCCTTTGATGCGGTGAAGTTGTCCTGTCCCCTTAGCAGAAAAACACCCCCAAAGCATAATGTTTCCACCTCCATGTTTGATGGTGGGGATGGTGTTCTTGGGGTCATAGGCAGCATTCCTCCTCCTCCAAACACGGCGAGTTGAGTTGATGACAAAGAGCTCGATTTTGGTCTCATCTGACCACAACACTTTCACCCAGTTCTCCTCTGAATCATTCAGATGTTCATTGGCAAACTTCAGACGGCCCTGTATATGTGCTTTCTTGAGCAGGGGGACCTTGCGGGCGCTGCAGGATTTCAGTCCTTCACGGTGTAGTGTGTTACCAATTATTTTCTTGGTGACTATGGTCCCAGCTGCCTTGAGATCATTGACAAGATCCTCCCGTGTAGTTCTGGGCTGATTCCTCACCGTTCTTATGATCATTGTAACTCCACGAGGTGAGATCTTGCATGGAGCCCCAGACCGAGGGAGATTGACAGTTATTTTGTGTTTCTTCCATTTGCGAATAATCGCACCAACTGTTGTCACCTTCTCACCAAGCTGCTTGGCGATGGTCTTGTAGCCCATTCCAGCCTTGTGTAGGTCTACAATCTTGTCCCTGACATCCTTGGAGAGCTCTTTGGTCTTGGCCATGGTGGAGAGTTTGGAATCTGATTGATTGATTGCTTCTGTGGACAGGTGTCGTTTATACAGGTAACAAGCTGAGATTAGGAGCACTCCCTTTAAGAGTGTGCTCCTAATCTCAGCTCGTTACCTGTATAAAAGACACCTGGGAGCCAGAAATCTTTCTGATTGAGAGGGGGTCAAATACTTATTTCCCTCATTAAAATGCAAATCAATATATAACATTTTTGACATGCGTTTTTCTGGATTTTTGTTGTTGTTATTCTGTCTCTCACTGTTCAAATAAACCTACCATTAAAATTATAGACTGGTCATTTCTTTGTCAGTGGGCCAACTTACAAAATCAGCAGGGGATCAAATCCTTTTTTCCCTCACTGTAGTGGAAAGCCTTCCCAGAAGAGTGGAGGCTGTTATAGCAGCAAAAGGGGGACCAACTCCATATTAATGCCCATGATTTTGGAATGAGATGTTCGACAAGCAGGTGTCCACATACTTTTGGTCATGTACTGAACATAAAGTGCTTTAATTTCTAAACGGTCAAATAGATATGTATGAAAATACCCATAAATAAAAGGTGACATTCTGTACTGTCGCCTCATATGAAACATTTGATCTCAAAGCCAAAATGCTGGAGCATAGAGCCACAACATTTTAGCTTCATTGTCCAAATACACTGAGTGTACAAAACATTAGGAACACCCCACACTTTCCATGACATAGACTGACCAGGTGAATCCAGGTGAAAGCTATGATCCCTTATTGATGTCACCTGTTAAATCTAATTCAATCATTGTAGATGAAGGGGAGGAGACAGGTTAAAGAAGGATTTTTAAGCCTTGAGACAATTGAGACATGGATTGTGTATGTGTGCCATTCAGAGAGTGAATGGGCAAGACCAAATATTTAAGTGTCTTGAACGGGATATGGTAGTAGGTGCCAGGTGCACCAGTTTGAGTGTCAAGTACTGCAACGCTGATGGGTTTTTCACGCTCAACAGTTTCCTGTGTTTCAAGAATTGTCCATCACCCAAAGGACATCCAGCCAACTTGACACAGCTGTGGGAAGCATTGGAGTCAACATGGGCCAGCATCCCTGTGGAACGCTTGACACCTTGTAGAGTTGAGTCTGTTCTGAGGGCAAAAGGGGGTGCAAGGTGTTCCTAATGTTTTGTACACTCCGTGTGTATTGAGGGGAGTGTACAATATAGGCCTAAACAGGTATTGTTAGGATGTGGGTTGAACCATTGTGGTTTTACAGATACACCAAAACCACTGCTACCTTAGTAGCCCTAGTTTGTTATATATGCATCTAATCAGGCTATATCTGCCATTCTATAGTCGCATGTTGCTACTGTATAATATATAGAAATACTGTGGAACAAGAGGCAGAACAGAACACCTCTTCACAACCACAACTATGCCCGTCTCTCTCTCTCCAGACTCCCTCTCTCAACATCTCTCTCTCTCTCTCTCGCTTTCCCTCTCCCTCGCTTTCTCCAGCCTCCCTCTCTCAACATCTCTCTCTCTCTCTCTCGCGCTTTCCCTCTCCCTCGCTCTCTCCAGCCTCCCTCTCTCAACATCTCTCTCTCTCTCCCTCGCTTTCTCCAACCTCTCACTGTGTGTCAAGCCTTGCTAAACAGAGGCCTCTTTCTCCTCAGAGAACAACCTATTGTCCAGCCTCCAGCCTCTGCCTGGGACTGGACTGCGGTCCAACGGACCAGCTAATGCATATGGATCCTCTGTCTTGAATCAGTCATTGTGAGTGTCCTGAATCCTGACATATGGGCCCTGGGAGGGACGAGTCTAATCTTAATGTAATATCTAAGATGGCGCCTATGTGGCAACCCCAACAAAACACTGTATTTTAATCCTTCGGAAACTCAAAATGGTCCACTCTGTCAGACGCCGAGAGAGAAGCTGGTCATGTCCTCTTTGTTGAGGAAGTGCAGAGAAGTGTGTGTATGTGTCTGGTCCGATTACCAGAGGTGTATTTGAGTTCAGAGAGCAACACAAACACCTGTTGTCTGTTTCAGCCTCAGAGTTACCCAGAACGCATTGCATGTTAGTCTGACTCTGGCACCACTGGAAAACGCTTGAGGCAACAGTTCTTCGATTTCATGCCTCTGGTTCGAAAACAAATCGTTTAGGCTATTTTAAGTTTATATTAAAGCTGCTATTGGGGTTATAGTACTGAATGATATGGGACGTAGAAACATAAATAGACGAATTGATGGGGAGAGGTTTGGTGCTCGGATGACCGCTATATCGACGACGTTAACGCTTACGGTATAGCCTGCAGCTGAGGCGAAGCCCGAGTGGGTCAGAAAGAATACTAGGTTCCTCATCTGAAAAACGAAATGAGTACGTTAAGATTTACTGCTCCTTGTCACGCTAGAACTTATGCTGCTGTTCATCTCACGTTTCCACTTTCCGTTTTACAATCTGTACTTTCCTCTGGATAAGAGGCTCTTCTACCTGAATCAAAGCTAATAAGAAAGTGCACTGACTGTACTTTCAAGTTGCTGTGGAGATGCCCTAATTTTCACTTGAGCTGTGCGGGCATATAGCCTATACTCTTGGGAGGCAGAGGCCAGAGGGAAAGGAAGGAGGGTGTGGAGTGGGGTTCATATGGTCAGGTGCTCCTGGCTGAGGACTCCTGGCCCAACTGAGGGAGGGGCTGGCCATGACTGAGGGAGGGGCTGGCCATGGCTGAGGGAGGGGCTGGCCATGGCTGAGTGAGGGGCTGGCCATGGCTGAGGGAGGGGCTGGCCATGGCTGAGGGAGGGGCTGGCCATGGCTGAGTGAGGGGCAGGCCATGGCTGAGGGAGGGGCTGGCCATGGCTGAGGGAGGGGCTGGCCATGGCTGAGGCAGGGGCTGGCCATGGCTGAGGGAGGGGCTGGCCATGGCTGAGGGAGGGGCTGGCCATGGCTGAGGGAGGGGCAGGCCATGGCTGAGGGAGGGGCTGGCCATGGCTGAGGGAGGGGCTGGCCATGGCTGAGGGAGGGGCTGGCCATGGCTGAGGCAGTGGCTAGCCATGGCTGAGGGAGGGGCTGGCCATGGCTGAGGCAGGGGCTGGCCATAGATGACGTTACTCTAACCCTGTCGGCTCCAGCACGAGGGCTCTGGATTCACAGTGTTTAGCAGGCAATTCAAGTGATTAAAGTTTAATCATAATTCCGGTCCTTAACAATGGTGTCTCAAACTTCAATATGTCATGTTAGGTAGGTTTATTGTTTATTAGCTGGAGGGTGTGGCAATATCAAACTCAACCTGCCTGGTCACACACACACACACACACACACACACACACACACACACACACTTCAATCTGAGTCATCCATCCTGAGTTCTTCAGTTCAGTGTGTCAGTCAAAAGAGATTGACAACCCACCCCACCCCACCCCACCCCACCCCACACCAACACAACACAACCCACCCCACCCAACCCCAACACAACCCAACAACAAAAAACCCACCCTAACATACCACCCAACCCTACCCACCCCAACCAACACTACCAACCCCAACACTACCCACCCCAACACTACCCACCTCAACACTACCCACCCCAACACAACCCACCCCAACATACCAACCCCAAACACTAACCACCCCAAACATATCCACCCAAAACACAACCCACCCCCCAACACTTACCACCCACCCCAAACACTTACCCACCCCAACATACCCACCCCAACACTACCATTCCACCCAACACTACCACCCCCAACACTACCCCCCAACACAACCCACCCCCAACACTACCCCCCCCACACTACCCCCCTCAACCCACCACCCCACCCCAACACTACCCACCCCAACACTACCCACCCCCAAACACAACCCACCCCAACACCGCTTGCCGTGCGGTAGCAGAGAGAACAATCTATGACTAGGGTGGCTGGAGTCTTTGACAATTTTTAGGGCCTTCCTCTGTCACCGCCTGGTATAGAGGTCCTGGATGGCAGGAAGCTTGGCCCCAGTGATGTACTGGGCCGTACGCACTACCCTCTGTAGCGCCTTGCAGTTGGATGCCGAGCAGTTGCCATACCAGGCGGTGATGCAACCAGTCAGGATGCTCTCGATGGTGCAGCTGTATAACTTTTTGAGGATCTGAGGACCCACGTCAAATCTTTTCAGTCTCCTGAGGGGGAATAGGTGGTGTCGTGCCCTCTTCACGACTGTCTTGGTGTGTTTGGACCATGATAGTTTGTTGGTGATGTGGACACCAACGAACTTGAAGCTCTCGACCTGCTCCACTACAGCCCTGTCGATGTGAATAGGAGCATGCTCGGCCCTCCTTTTCCTATAGTCCACAATCATCTCCTTTGTCTTGATCACCTTGAGGGAGAGGTTATTTTCCTGGCACCACACTGCCATGTCTCTGACTTCCTCCCTATAGGCTGTCTCATCGTTGTCGGTGATCAGGCCTCTCACTGTTGTGTCGTCGGGAAACTTTATGATGGTGTTGGAGTCGTGCTTGGCCACGGAGTCGTGGGTGAACAGGGAGTACAGGAGGGGACTAAGCATGCACCCCCCAGGATCCAGTTACAGGGGGAGGTGTTTAGTCCCAGGGTTCATAGCTTAGTGATGAGCTTTGAGGGCACTATGGTGTTGAATGCTGTAGTCAATGAACAGCGTTCTCATGTGGACCCCAGGGTGCTCTTCCTGTCTACCTGCTCCCCTCCTGTCTCACCCTCTCCATGGTCTCCTCCTGTCTCACCCTCTCCATGGTCTCCTCCTCCTGTCTCACCCTCTCCATGGTCTCCTCCTGTCTCACCCTCTCCATGGTCTCCTCCTGTCTCACCCTCTACATGGTCTCCTCCTGTCTCACCCTCTCCATGGTCTCCTCCTGTCTCACCCTCTCCATGGTCTCCTCCTGTCTCACCCTCTACATCAGGGGTGTCAAACGTCCGGCCCGCGGGCTGGATCAAGCCCGCAAACGGGTTTAATCCGGCCCGCGAGATGATTTAAAAATAAAAAAACATTTTTTTTATTTTTTTTATGTGAAGTATAAAAATGCGCTGCAATTTTTCAATAAAATAAACTGCTGTTCCAATTGCGTCCACTGGATGGCGCAATAGCAATTGTGTTAAGCAAGCAAACTGTTTATACCGGGGCAGAGCAAGTAGGTCAAGCACGTGCAGCCAATGAGCTACTTTGTTTTGCCCGCGATATTTATTACGGCTTCTACTTTTAACATTATGTGCTTTGGCACCCTCATTGCCCCAATATGTCTCTGTCAAAAAATAGAAAAGTGGACGCAGAGTGCAGAGTGTTCCAAGAAAAATGGTCATCCTATTAATTCACGGAATTGAATGGGAAAGCTGTATGTTTGGTGTGTTCAGAGCATGATGCAGTGCTGAAAGAATATAACCTTCGTCGCCACTATGTGAGTCTTCATGCCGACAAATATGACAACTTTCAAGGACAGCGGAGATGAGAGAAGGTGAATGAACTGTTGGCGGGTCTGAAGAAACAGCAGTCTGTGTTTACTCACAGCCGAGACATCAGTGACGCTGCAGTGAAAGCTAGCTACCTCATTGCTAATGAAATCGCAGTGGCTTCAAAACCATTTAGTGAGGGTGAATTTGTAAAAACAGGCATGATGAAGGCAGCGGAGATTTTGTGCCCTGAAAAGCCGCAGGCTTTTGCAAATATCAGCCTGACAAGAAACACAGTTGCAGACAGGATTTCCGATCTTTCAGTGGATTTGGACAGCCAGTTGAAGCAAAAAGTAAAGTCATTTATTGCGTTTTCGGTTGCAATTGATGAAAGCACGGACATTACAGATGTTGCACAACTGGCCATTTTCATCCGCGGAGTTGATGACACATTGACCGTCACCGAGGAGTTCGTGGAGTTGGTGCCGATGACAGATACAACGACAGCAGCTGATATTTTTATCGCACTCGTCGGCGCGCTGGACAGGGTCGGAGTGGACTGGTCCCGCGCTGTCAGCCTGGCTACAGATGGTGCGCCCTCAATGATCGGGAAAAAAGCAGGCGTTGTGACAAAGTTCAGAGAGAAAGTGCAATCTGCAAATGGAGGACGTGATTTTTTGACTTTTCACTGTATTTTGCACCAGGAGGCTTTGTGTTGCAAGTCATTAAAGATGGATAACGTCATGAAGGTGGTCATCCAAACTGTTAATTTCATCCGATCCAGAAGCCTGAATCACCGTCAGTTTGACAGCCTTCTCAGAGAGAAAGACCACATCTATGGCCTGCCATACCACACTGAGGTAAGATGGTTAAGCCGAGGTGCTGTGCTGAGGCGTTTCTTTGATTTACGAGAAGAAATTGAACAGTTCATGGAAGAAAAGGGCAAACCAGTGTTAGAATTTCATTCCGCAGAATGGATGCAGGACCTTGCATTTATGGTGGATGTTACAGAGCACCTGAATAACTTGAACAAACAGCTGCAAGGGCGCAACAAAGTTGTCACGCAGTATTATGACAGCATACATTCTTTCAAGTTGAAGCTGTCATTGTGGGAGACGCAACTTGCCGGTGGTGATGCAGCTCACTTCCCCTGTCTGAAAAATGTGTGCGCGACCCAACATGTGGCAGACATGAAGCGGTTCAAAGATAAAATAACGGGACTGTTACGGGAGTTTGAGCAACGCTTTCAGATTTATGTTTATATGTTTTTATGTTGATATGCTATTGTTTTTAATTGTTTTTATTTTATTTGTATATTTAACCTATTCTTGACTCTGTGGTTCTTGCACTTGTTTGGGGAACAGGATTTCATTATTTTTATCTACATTTCTGCCTGAGAAATGACACCCTGATATAGTTCTGTGATCTGTGATATACTTCTGTGAATCACTGAGGCATTGTGTGTGTTTGTGTGTTCTTTGTCCTCAGAACTTTCAAATAACTTGAGGTGTTTTATGATTAATAGTGATGTTGTGCTTTTGGACACTGTCCTCAGGCTCCAGCTTTATGTTTATATGTTTTTATGTTGATGTGCTATTGTTTTTAATTGATTTTATTTTATTTGTATATTTAACCTATTCTTGACTCTGTGGTTCTTGCACTTGTTTGGGGAACAGGATTTCATTATTTTTATCTACATTTCTGCCTGAGAAATGACACCCTGATATAGTTCTGTGATCTGTGATATACCTCTGTGAATCACTGAGGCATTGTGTGTTTGTGTGTTCTTTGTCCTCAGAACTTTCAAATAACTTGAGGTGTTTTATGATTAATAGTGATGTTGTGCTTTTGGACACTGTCCTCAGGCTCCAGCTTTATGTTGTATGTTGATCGTATTAAAACAAAGAAAACAATCTGAAGTTGTTGTTTTTAAGTTATATATACCATGATTTTTCCGG